AGCATTAGGTTCAGGAACAGCATTAGGTTCAGGAACAGCATTATAGGTTTATGAACAGCATTAGGTTCAGGAACAGCATTAGGTTCAGGAACAGCGTCTATGTGGTGAATAAAATTTTTTTATTATGGACGGGAAATTTTTTTATTTATGTCTCATCGCTGTGGCTTCAAAACTTTAGGAGGAGATAGGTTTGCCGTGCCAATAAGTGTGAATGTTCGGCAGAGCGCGACAAAGTCCCGCGCGCATCGCAATAGGCACTCAATGTAGCAAGGATACGAAACTAAACGTTACTGGAGCTTGATTCCAGTCAAGGATGGTGGGAGCGACTGCATGCACACCCCCCCGTACGACGCCATGCGGGTAGCTGAACTGCAGCTCAAGCATAACACTCTATTTAAGTGCTCAGCAGCTTTTTACCCCCTATCTTATTAGTTAAAGAACTCCCCCACCCCGCTCCCTTTCGGCATGTGTCGTGAACGCATAAATCAACGTACAGAGATAGTGTTGGTACCGTTGAATAGCTCAGAATGTCAGCTTTAAGATGAGACTAAAAATCGGAAAAGGCAATACCGTCGATTTTCCACCTAGAGTCCTAGACGCTCCCCTTAAGATCAGGAACTGCATCAGGCTCAGGAACAGCATTAGGTTCAAGAACAGCATTTTTTCAGGAACTGCATCAGGCTCATGAACAGCATTAGGTTCAAGAACAGCATTTGTTCAGGAACTTCATCAGGAACAGCATTAGGTTCAAGAACAGCATTTTTTCAGGAACTGCATCAGGCTCATGAACAGCATTAGGTTCAAGAACAGCATTTGTTCAGGAACTTCATTAGGCTCAGGAACAGCATTAGGTTCAAGAACAGCATTTGTTCAGGAACTGCATTAGGCTCAGGAACAGCATTAGGTTTAAGAACAGCATTAGGTTCAGGAGCAGCATTACTGCATTAGGTTCAAGAACAGCATTAGGTTCTGGAACAGCATTAGGAGGAACAGCATTAGGTTCAGGAACAGCATTAGGTTCAGGAACAGCATTAGGTTACTCCGAATATCGGAAAATCCAGAGTCCATCTGGAACGAATGCAGATACTCTTGGTTGGAATAAGATTTTTAAGAGAACTGTTGTTCGAAAATTGACGTTCAATATCATTCCATTTATCTTGTTTTAAATTTTTGTTGCCAGATATCTCCTTGAACAGCCGTATGTTATTGAACGACGCCATCATGCTGTTCGGAGGCATCTCAATCATGGAGATCGCTTATCTCTGCATTCAGTTCCACCGCAAGAGGAACGTTCCTCGCGATGAGGCGACCATTGAGTTGGCGGAGGACCCCACTAGCCAGTGAGGCCCTTTGTCATGCCGAGGCCCTAGGGTGGGTGGGCGCTCCGCGGTGCTCCACGACCTGCAGTCAGTGGGCACAGATGTGATATTGGTTTTAAAATGTTGGCTTTGATTTTAGCTTTGATTTTAGCATATTTCTCCTGACGTGCACTATTCAAACTAATTGATGAGCTGGTTTTAAATAAATATCGACCACCATGTTCTGTACATTTATTAACTCCAAATCTTTACCAACGTCGAGATGGAAGACTGTTCCCATCCTCCACTATTGCACAGATTATCAATGTGAACTAGCAATCGGGAAAGAAGAGTTTGTTTCGATAGGTATTCTTTATATATGCACTCCGAACTCGGAAGCTATGTTTGCACGGACTAGATTATACATTCAAATGGCCTAGCCAAAATGGATTGAAACTTGATCGACAGAGTGCAGTTTCGGAAAAGTCGTTAGCGTATAAACGCGCCGTAGCAAGGTGTTTGCATTACACCAAAACAATCTGCTAAATATTAGGTTCATTGGCTGTTTCGGAGCTAACCCTAATTGAGAAATTGAAAATTTTTCAGTGTCAGAATTTCGAATAGTGAATGAATAACATAATCAGGTTTAAATTTACCAGCCTTAAATTATTATTGAATCAAACATTAACTGGATGAAATGGGCCCAGCGCGTAGAATTTTCAGATCCGATTTTAGGTGAATGATTTCGTAAGTTTTTTAATTTGTAGTTTCGTAAGTTTTAATGACGATGAACTTATAGTAATTCTCAAAATTATCACAGGTATAATAAGATTCATTTATCTGTCATAATCAAATACGAATGTCGCGGCTATTATCATATTCGTTTCTATTAATAGGCGGAAATGATGAATAACCTTTTCTGTTAGCTTTCCTCGAGACGCGCCTCGCATATTTTAAGTTTACAATGATAAAATATGTGTAAATTAATTATTCCCAGAATATCTGTTAGCCAAGGAAGGGCTGAACTCTTGTCAGGATGGCCCATAAAATGGCAAAAAGCCCATCTATGTTTAGGTATTGACCCTCTTATTTATCTGCGTGTACAGACGACTGGTGTTGAAAGTAAGGGGGAGGGGGGTACGTCTCACAGTTTGGCATCGCTGCTGTATATTAACTTCAATTAGTCAACCGATTGGATTATGTAACTATGGAACTGTACCAGTCCATCTTATTGGTTTGGTATATATCGCTTGAAAAGTCAGAGATTATTTGTAACTATGAAACTACACCAGTCCATCTCATTGGTTTGGTATATATCACTCGAAAAGTCAGAGATTATTTGTAACTATGATACTGTATCAGTCAATCTCATTGGTTTGGTATATATCGTTTGGAAAGTCAGAGGTTATTTGTAACTATGATACTGTATCAGTCCATCTCATTGGTTTGGTAGATATCGCTTTAAAAGTCAGAGATTATTTGTAACTATGAAACCGTACCAGTCCATCTAATTGGGTTGGTATAATATATCACTTGGAAAGTCAATGGATATATATAACTACGGAACTGTACCTGTCCATCTCATTGGGTTGGTATGTATCGCTTGGAAAGTCAAGGGATAAATATAACTATGAAACTGTACAGAGGATCTCAAGGTATTGGCAGGTATCGCTTGATGATTAAGGTGACATATATAACTATGAAACTGTACAGGGGATCTCATGGTATTGGCAGGTATCGCTTGATGATTAAGGTGACATATTATACACTTCTCCTGCAGCAGGTGGCACTCAGAAAAGAATGTGTTGCAACGCACTGAGTTGGAAGGAGTCACAACGTTAAATAAAATAGAAAATCAATGTCGCAAAATCAGCCCAAGTTCATGATGAATCTATAAGTGAAACATAAAGGTATCACTGTAAATTTGAGAAATTTGTTTGAAATATGCTACAAATCGGAACTGAAAATGCGAATAGTTCACCGTAAAAATATAATGTCCGAATTTCTGAGACTATGACTACAGAGACAAATCAACAAATAGAAATCTCCTGATCTCCGAACAACCGACATATCACTCTAGGATCACAATTAAAGTGATAGGTCAGTAAGTGTTTGCTTAGTATAATGATTACTTGTGCGGTAAACTGTGAAATATGCTAACGTCCTCTGTTTGGTTGACAACGGTTTGCTAATATGCTATGTCATTATAATTTTTAAGTTGTACAGACGTTGATTTCTAAGCCTCGATGGCGCCGATCATTGTGATAGTATCGGAGGTCGTGTGGTTGCTCTATGCTCGTGGTCAGTTCCATGTTATTCGAACGCATTAATGGGATAGAGAACTTATAGCTCCATTAGTTATGAACATTGTATCAATCAATGATTATCGAGTCCATTGATACTGTTAGTAAACCTGTGTAGTTGTGGTTCACGTAGTGTTGCACTTGGCATCGAAGGGCTAGTAGGTATCGTACGCTAATTGTTACCGAGAGTTTGGAAATATCTTTCTTCATTCTTCCATGCAGGTTTTAAGTGGATCATGATGCGGAACTCAAACGTCGTAGAACCGCAAAGTGACTTCCAGGCGGCAGAATGGGAGTCGTCGTTGGACATGATCACGGACATTTATATGTACTACTCTCTCGCAGCTGTCATAATCGCTTGGGAGATGGAGCAGGGTAAGCAATTGTGTCGCTTGGAAACCTTCCCATTAATACATTTGACCTAATCGAATACCTGTAGCTAATGAATTTACTACCCGGGAATTTCACAATAGAATAGCGTGGTTTGTTCTGCGTTAGGAAAGTAAGCTCCTGATTTGTGTAGGAATGACAGATCGAATATAAAACGTCGTAAGAATTATTTCGAGCGTAGTAGAATGAAATTTTTAGCGGGAAGCTCGTCTGTATGAATACACCAGTTCGAAACTCTGAATAAGTAGACTATAACTTGTCTACTATAACGGTGCACTTGTAAATTTAATGGATTTGTGCAGGTAGCATAACTAGTTTCATGCCAGCAGTATCACTAGTCTGGATAACATTTCTGATGCTATTCTGCTCCCTCATCATAGGTCAATTTTTATAGTTACGCAGTGACAATTTATTCGTACATTCTTCTCTCCTGCAGAGTTTCATGAAAGGCTGGCAACTTTCTTTGCCTTGAATATTGCGTTCGGGGCAGTTTTGATCCTGGCTGTGATGATCTCCAATAGCTAGATGCCCCTATCTGGAAAGGTCCAGCCTGGAGGTCTCAAAAGCAACTAACCGCATCGACAGAAAAGTGCTGACATACGCGATCCAGCCTGCACTCGAACGACTGCAAGCCTCCATCATTACTTTTTATTACCCCTCGAGAACATCCGCTCTGGTGTCCTCATTGGTATATGATATTTTAAATATTTTAACATTAATTATCGTAAATTTTTAATATTGTCAATTTTAAATTAAATGATGACTGAAATAATATGCTGATTTCTATTGTTTTGCCCTTCGAGAAGAAGTATAGTTCAAGCTTGAACAGTGAATTTAGTCTCCGAATGAAAGCGAAGTGCATATAACGGTATGCTAAGAGGCTAAGTTGCCTAAGTTTTATGGAAAAATTTTAGAAAGAAGCTACAATACGGATCGATAGCAAACCTAACTTTGATTTGGTAGTTGCGACCTCGTGAATACATTTCTTAGTATGCGAATCTAGTTCACGAAATGTTTCGAGAAAATGGGCTAATTCAGAGATGGAGGAGAATCTTAAACTTAGTTCTGTTGAACTTCGCATCCGTGCTTGGTATTAGTTTGTTCGGTTTTCCGGTAATTTCTTACTAATGAAATATTTGCACTGACGACGCTACCGTGGGAATGGCATTTAGGGTCATCTACAGCTACAAACAAAGTCGTTAGTTAATTGAGGCATCACGAATCTGAAAACTTGGACTTGCAAGTTTTTGACCATCTCCAGCGAATTGTTATCAGTATAGTTATTGCTGTCAATATCTATTGATACTGTAATTAACTTGTACTTCTCATTCAGTCCCGTACTTTCCAATAAACGACGAACGCAAATGAACTAAGTTTTAAATCTTCAGACTGGCTATAATTCAGTTGACTATTTCATCAATACGTTTGCCTTGAAATGAAGTCCTGGGCCTATGCTTTCAAAAAGTCAAGAGATCGTAAATTCATCGGCATCAGCCAATCATTGACGGCCTTTTGAGCAAAATCAACCAATCACAGACAATATAATCGAACGTAAGTACTTACGTTCACTTAACGAGTTTTGAAAGTATGGCCCCTGCATGGTGTACAGGCGTCTTCTCTGGTCCCGAAGACTCACGATCATCAGGCATGCAAATGACTGCAGACACTAGAATGAAAATGCGACAATAATTATAGTATAACGTGTTACGCTATACATTCAAATGAGGAATTAACAATATATCCTCGCCACTGCGTAATGGGCATTAAAAGTATTTCATTTAATTTCAGAATTATTGGTTAAGAGTTGAGGGGGAAAAGCTAGCCGAAGTGGCCGAATTCGTCCGTTTTACCTTTCTAATTGAATCTGGAGGTAAAAATAAGAAACAAATTTTCGCCAACACGTAATGAATATTGAATATGTGTATTCAATTTGATAATTATTGTTCACGAATTGAATGATAGGGATAAACGATAAATGTTCACGAATTGATCATGTTGAATCGTGCATAGCGCCGGTCATCGAAGTAGCTCATCTCTCATCAACTCACAGACGTTACATCAATGAAATTGCTTAGTTAATCGCCATATAACATTAAGTTGTAATATCATTAATAGGTTCTTTTGCCGTAGTCCGGAAAAGGTGAAGTACTGCATGCGACTTAATTTCAACTGCGCGAACAATGTGTGTTATCTAACTTCATGTGTTTGTTCTGAATCGTAAAAGAAAATGTATACTTCGCTGTAAATAATATAAATTAAATAATGCCCAAATTTCCAAGACTCTGACTAAAGAGACAAATTAACAGAAAAAGTTTTCTCATCATCTCCAAGCCAGCAATCTGCTTGCCAGTCGACGTCGTCTACTTATAAGAGATAGGTTTAGGTAGTATTAGGTTAGTATCTAGTTCATATATCCTGTATTATATGAAGTATAGCTAAGTATTCTGACACGAGATGTATTAATTGCTGGAATGTCATGTTTAACCCTCTACCGCCTGACGGGAGTAATCGGTGCACTTTTGTCAGAAGCCTATTGCCAAAAAGGATAC